AAACTTATGTTCTGGGTTCTGTGCTTCATACTGGGCTCCAAGGATGAATCTGTGATATATCTAGTGAGTTACTCAGAAATGTTGCTAATTAAGGTACATTTGGGGACATGATAATACAGGCGTCCTCAAACTATTTCCCGCGGGCCATATGAAGGCCGCCTAGGACATTTATCCAGCCCGCCGGGTGTTTTGGCCGCTGCTGCCTGTCCTGTTTAGCAGCCGACTTGTCCCTGTGCCCACAGTTTGGTCCTGTAACTGTCTGAGGGACAGTGAACTGGCCCCCTGTTTAAAAAGTTTGAGGACCCCTGTTAACTACAAGCCTCTCTGTGCCATTTGTGCGTTGGAGACATTTTTTTCTTACTACTAGAAACATATCTCAATCAGAGACTTTGGAGGGAAGCTCAGAACCATCAATCCAGCGACGTTGTGGAAGTTGTTTTATAGAGAGAAAACCGCCACCCTACAGGAAACCAGGGCTGAGTCCACTTGCACCTGCGCGGGTAACTCCGCGCCTTTGTCGCGGGCGCCCTCTGGCGGCCGCACCATGCAGGAGGTTCGTGTCTGGACTGCAGTTCCCTTGCTGTGTCCTTAGCACAGTAATACAAGGTTGTGTCCTCGGCCTTCAGGCTGCTGCAGCGCAGGGAAGCGGTGCTGATGGAGTTGTCGGTGGAGATGGTGACGTGGCCTTGGAAGGCAGGACTCTTGTATGTGTTAAAATTACCAGGATAGATTCTCCCCACCCACTCCAGGCCCTTCCCGGGCCTCTGGCGCACACAGTGCATACAGTAGCTTGTGAAGGTGTATCCAGATGCCTTGCAGGAGATCGTCAGAGACTCCCCGGGCGGTCGCACCTCTGCCCCTGACTGCACCAGCTGCACCTGGGCACAGACGCCTGTGTGTGAGAAGCAGGACTGAGATCAGGGCCCTTCCTACCTACCCCTCCTGTGACCCCAGATCCTGAGCTAGAACTGACCTGGGAGAACAGCCAGGAGGAGAGTGAGGAGGATGGCAGACCCCATCCTGGAGCACAGAAAGGCCTGTAGTGAGGATCCAGCAGGCAGTGAGGGAGGCCCACTCTCCTGGGAACTTAAAAGGGGTGTCCCTCACTAGTTCTGTGATAGAAAACTATAAATAATAACAAGAGATGCTCTGTCCAGGAGGAGGACAGGAAAACTGGGGCCATCAGCTGACCTGGAGCAAAGACAGCAGCACCTGGAAGGCAGCACCCAGACCCAGGGTCCCGATGCCTGCCTAGAATCACAGCTCAGGAGAAGGTCAGAGACTCTGACTTTAGTCCCACACCTTTCACACACTGACAATTGTCAGGTAAGACTCATACTGGAGTGTGTGTGAAAGAGCTGGAACAGATAGAGCCTCTGTAAGAGAGTACAGGGAAGAACACGAAGCCAAGCAGGGAACAGAGACAAGGTGTCACTGGGGAATCTGAAGTCTCTGATGGACTCAGAAAGAACAGATTCAACCCTGGTCTCCAGAGCAAATATAGACTTCACAGGTACCTCTGAGGAGGTCCAGGCAAACTGTTAACTAAGTGCCTAGCAAAGATGTGATATGAGAAACTACAGGCAGAAATGGGTCCAATAAACTAACAAGGCAACATCAACTGTCCTTCACAGCCTATCTGGTTATCGATGTGAATACAAGATACATCAGAGAGAAAGACCATTGCCGAAGTAGACAAATGATCTGAATATGATTGTAAATGACAGAGCACTTAGAGCTATCTAATTAATGAGCATATTGAGTAAAATCTCTACATGACAACATGAGAAGACCACAGGGTTGGACAGTGACTCTGCTGACAGATGGAAACATTAATATCATGGAGTTTCATGACAGTCAGAAGCACTGTGCTCTGCATAGAAGGAGCCTGTGCACACTCAGCAGAGGGGTTGGCTCAGCCTGCAAGTGAAGATGGGTCTTCAAAAGTGTTATTGGAAGTTATGCAAACCAAATTGCAAAGACAAAAAGGAGTGAAGAAAACAGGAATGATTATAAAACATCATAACATAGATGTGTTTCGAAGTCAACTGAGAAGTTCAGTTGCTCATGTTCAGAACAACACACTGAAATTTCCAAACACACATGATTTTGGTAAGAAAGTTAAACGCATTTTTGTCCAGTATGTGACATTCCAAGAAAAATTCAGTAGATTTTGAGAATAGTCTCAGGCCAATATGTGATAAAACTTTACTCTCCACAAAAATGCAATAATAGATAATGAAAAACAGATGTCAAGGGAAGGGAGATTGGATTATCACCTTGGTCTCTGAGGAAGGTAATAGTCAGAATAAAATTCAAGCATTCTGATTCTCAGCCCCACAATCAGACCTGATTCACTGTCAGCAGAGGGAGCAGTCTGAGTTCCCTGTACATGGGGCAGCACCTGATACATGGAGTAAGGATCGGGGTCTCCGCAGGCTCTGAGGTGGGCAGGGCCAGCTCCCTCCTCAGACTCAGAAGTCAGGGAAGTCTCTGCTCTTGCTCTGGGTCAGGGTAGTGGTTGTGTCTGGAGGTGGCCAAACTTACTCTACTCAAAACCTTTGCACATGGACAGAAACCAGTGTATATGAGAACCAATTCATCTCACAGTACATTTAACAATCCCTCATGTCAGTGGAAACACTGACCAGCAGAAACTTAAGGAAAAATGCACCTGAGGTGAATGTGGAATTTTAGTTTTACTCTTGTGATGACCAGACCCCCTTGATTCCCTGCTAAGACCAGTGGGGAACAAGCCCCTACCCTTGAAAAGGAAAACTCTTCTGAGCCCCCTAGTCCCAGTCCCATAAGGGTGGAAAGATAAAATTCTAAGAGGAGGCCTAGAGAAAAGGAAGTACCCAGGGAGAGATCCCTTGGTGGAAGGTCCTGAATTCTTTGGAAACTTTCTCAACTCATGTACCTCTGCCATGAACTTTGTAACCCCCAATGTGATTTGCTTATGAGCTAAGTCAGCATGTACCCCCACCCTGAGTTGTGTTACCCCTTATGAGTATGTATGTACCCCTGTCTTATGACCCTTGAGTTATGCTGAGTCGTTATGAGCTAATGCATGTACCCTAACCTTGTGACCCCTGAGTTGTGTTGAGTTGTGCTAACCCCTTTATATATACCAACAGCAGCCAAGCTGAAAAAGCAGTCAAGGACTCTATTCCATTCACAGTAGTGTCAAAGAAGATGAAATATTTAGGAGTTTACCTAACAAAAGATGTGAAAGATCTCTATAAAGAGAACTATGACACTCTAAGGAAAGAAATAGC